CCTGTGCATGTTTACCAAGCATACCTGAGAGCTGGGTTCGAGATGAATGAAACTTAGGTGGACGGGCTATATCCTCTTAAAATTGCATTCCTTTAGTTTCTCAGTTACTTGAGTTATCGATTTACCCAAAAAAAATTTTGGCGGGCTCATACGCGGGTACCACGCTTACTCGGGGGCTGGGTTTGAGTCCACTAATACCCGCTTGGGCGGGGAGCATTGCCCCAAGATTTCAGCCTTCTAGCTTCTTAGATCCTCGAGTCATGAATTTACGCGGGAAAAATTTTGGGGGGCCCGTACGCGAGTACCACACTTACCCGGGGGCTGGATTTGAGCTCATTAGTACCTGTCTGGACGGGGAACATTCCCATAAAATTTCAGCTTTCTAGCATTTCAGAACCCCGAGTTATGAATTTGCGTGGGAAAAACTTTGGGGGCCCGTACACGGGTACCACGCTTACCCGGGGCTGGATTTGAGCTCATTAGCACCTGCTTTGACGGGGAACATTCCCCTAAAATTTCAGCTTCCTAGCACCTAAGAACCCCGAGTTATAAACTTACCCGAAAAAAATTTTGGCGGGCTCGTACGGGGGTACCACGCTTACCCGGGGGCTGGGTTTGTGCCCACTAATAGCCTCTTGGACGGGGGACATTACTCCAAGATTTCAGCCTTCTAGCCTCTCAGATCCTCGAGTTATGAACTGACCCCTAAAAAACTTTGGCGGGCTCGTACGCGGGTACCACGCAGGTTCTGGCGCCAATTTTTGGGATGAGGGCCCGTATGTGCATGTAGATTATGTCTCCAAAGTTTCAGCCCTGTAGCTTTTGCCGGTCTCGAGATGAAAAATCGGTACAGACGAACACACAGACAACCACTCGTCAATATGCGTTTTCTGCGTTGCATAGCTGCAAAAAACGCATAAAAACTGAATAACATGTGACATTTTGCTCATTTTGCTGATGCTGATGGACGCTATTTATCAGTAAGCGGTATCCGCAAGAAAGGAAAATCTCTCCGGCATTTTTTGAAGGCGGAGCCTGCATAAATAACACAGATGAGTTAGTAGCAATTGAATAAATTATAGCTCCCATCAAAAGACCTCGTACAGCTGCATCCGGTGCGTGGGTGCCTCCCAATAGCATCATCAGTATCGGATATTCATACCAGTTGTCTGTGTGGACTCGGTGACATTTGTGAACTTAAATGAACACACCTTTCTTCTCTTAATTGCACTTGTTGTTCCCGCATGGAAAGTTGTTCGTTCCACTCAAAGCTGCTTTTTTCTGACTGACTCTTTAAATTCTTTGTCACTTCACCAATCTTTATGGCCAGTTCATCGAGCTTTATCAGCATTTCCGCGCAGTTCCTGGAAACAATAGTTATTGCGGAATAAAACGCGAGGATTAGTGCCAATTAGAGTTGACGTGTAGAGCGCTCTTGTGCAAGATACAGAACGCACTAAACTGAATTCAAATTCAATAAAGTGTAAATATTCTTAAAGTTCTTATTTCTTTAAAATAAAATATTATGCTAATTAAGCGTTCTTGCCGTACAGCGCTGGAGCGCTGCAACAGACAGCAAAAACGCATATTGCAACAACCCCGTCAGTGTGTGTGTATGTATGCTTGTGCGTGTATGTGTGTGTATGTGTGTGTGTGTCAGGGTATTTCAACTCGCCAACTACGCAAGCTCTGAAGCTGAAATTTTGCTGGTGTGTTTCCCCGTCAAATGCCGTCCCAGGCTTGAGGTATCAATCCTCACACACGTCTGGGCA